TATAGAAAAATAATTTGAAATTAGTTTTCTTTACAAAATTCTTACGGTTCAAATGAAAAACTCATAAAATTTGGGGATCTATAAAAAAGAAAATTCTTTAAATTCTATAAAAATTTATTAATTGCCCTCTTTATTATATTTACATTGGGGCCATGAGAATCACATTACGTCTGTTTTAACAGGTGTACAGAAAAGTTGAACTATAAATTTTGGGGACCTCTAAACATTAACAAAATATTTTCTCTGCATAAAATTTCTTTTTAAACGAAATTTTCAAAAAAATTATTATTATCAAAAAACTAGTTTAAGGTCCCCTCTCTAATATACATATAATGAAAAAATATGTATATATGTGGTTTAAAGAAAAAAAACAGGAGCTCATGAAAAGAACAGGAGCTCATATTTTTTTAAATTTTCAAATTCAATTATTCAAAACTCTTAATAAATTTTCTAAATCACCTGTTAGGCAGTATAACTCACAAACGATCGTTTGAGTTATTTAAAATATGAAAGAGTTAAAAACTGTAGCATTCGAACAGGAGCACAGAATTATTAAGAAGCAAGTGTTCATATTCTTATTTTTAAAATTAATTACAAAATGTGTGTATATCAAATAAACCTGTACTCAGACCAACTTCTAGAATTAATCAGGTTAAATAAGGGAAAGTGTTAAAAGTCAGCACAAACTGTAGCATTTGAACAGGAGCTCATAGAATTTAGGAATTAAAAAAAATTGGAAAATTTTCATTTTCAAGAAGATTTCAAAAGCAAAAGACTCAAATAACTGACTAGTTCTGGGAATTTAAACCATGAGTACATCAGAAACATAAATTTTCCATTAATTTTATAATTTATTCTAAGAGTTACAATGTCAAGAAAAGGCCCTTTAGCTCTTATGTATTTTAAGAAAAACTCGTAAATTCTATCTTTTAAAGAAATTTGTAAAAAATTCCTAAAAATAGAAGAAATTGTTAAGAAATTAGTTAAGAGAAAGAAACAAAGTGTTCTAAATCTCAGCATGAAACCATGTGAGTAAGTGAAAGGGCAGAAAGATCAAGATGTTAGAAGATTCTTAGAATCTTTGGTTTTCCAAATTAAATAATATAAATAGGAACTATTGTAATAGTTTGTTGAAAAGTAACATATTAGTTACGCCTTCGTGATTTTTGTATATTTCAAGTTGTTTGTTAAATTCTTAGAAAGTCTTTAAAATATGTTAGAAGAAGATTTTGGTTTTAAATGATCAAATTAACCAAAATTATAGCACATGAACATGAGCTCATTAAAAGTACCAGTATATATGATAGAAACACGCAGGTAGAATGTAGACATGATTAAAACATCTTTGAGATTTCATTGGAAACATTCAGAGTGGTAATCCATAATACATTGTTCAAAGAATACATTATTCCAAGAACAGTCATTATTAAATTTTCCAATGTAGGTTTTAATTACAACTATAATTTATTTGAACAAATTCTAAGAACTTTGCTAGACTATTGTTCGAAACTATAGACTTAAATAGGCTTAAATTCTAACAAGAGATTTGTTTAAAAAATTTAATTTCCCAGATTTATGAACTCCTGTTCGAATGCTATACTTTATGGTGACATTTTTATTAACTCTTTGATAATGACTAAGTAACGTTTCTGAATTTAATTATTTAAAACTATTGCCCATAAATTTTCAATTTTAACTTCATTAAAATTCATTCGTATTCAAAACGATAGATAAAAAAAATAGAACCTATAAAAATGTCTGAATGAAAAAGGGTTAATAAAAATGTCACCACAAATTGTAGCATTCGAACAGGAACGCAGGAATCATAGAATGTTTAAATTTGTAAATAAATTTTGAGTTTATAAAACATAACAGAAATTTTTATTGCTAACTGCAACAAACTTTTTTTCAGAATTTCTTTTAGATTTTTAAAAGACTTCATAAATTTTTAATTTTTATTCAGAAAGCAGCACTCGAGAACCTATAAAAATGTTGAAATGAGGAAAGAGTTAATAAAAATGTCACCACAAATTGTAGCATTCGAACAGGAGCACATAAAAGTAGAATGTTGATTTAAAAAATGTATAGGGAAAACCTTAAAACTAAATTTTTTCTAGATAAATTTTCATTGCTAACTTAGTCTTGTACTACAGTTAATAAAATTTCTCAAAGACCCTTTTAAAAGAACTATAACTCCATAAATTTGTATTTTCAAACTGATAGAGTTAATAACCACAAATTGTAGCAATCGAATAGGAGCTCATAAAACTAGAAGGTGAAAATTTAATAGAATTTTCAGGACAATAGGCAAACCTTTCTTTTTATTTTTCATTAACAGTTAAAAGACTTCTGGGAAATTGTTTTAAACAATAACGGATTATAGTAGTTGCTGTCCCTTAGCGTTACCCAGAAGTCTTTTATTTTGTTCATATTTAATAAGAATTATTTAAAAGAGATTTTAAACAATACAGTCAGTGGTTTATTGTTTCGAAAAAGGTTCTTTAAAAGAAAAAATAAGTAAGTTGAAACCCAGATTTATTTCTTTTAAAACTACCTGTTCTAAAATAGAAAATCTAAAAATTTGTAATCTGATTTTGAAAGTACAACTCTGCTGCTAAAGTTTCTAAACTCCCGTTAGAATGCTACAGTTTTTAGTGACTTTTCTTAACTCTTTCAATTTTTTAATTTAAAAACTATTTGAATTCAAAAGAAATTATTTATATGCAGATTTTTCCAAACTGAAAGAGTTAAAAAAAGTCACCACAAACTAAAGCATTTTAACAGGAGTTCAGAAGGTACTGCTTATAGAAATTGTGGGCCTACTCATGTATAGTTTTCTATTTGTTAAATGTTTTCTTTTTTGGAGACAATAGTCTGTCTCCCACATTGTCAAAAATTAGAAAGTTAATTTTCTAAAAATTTGTTTCACCAAACTGCAGAGGGATCATGAGCTCCTGTTACAATATATTAATTAAATATGTCTATTAGATCAAATCTTTTAGATAAGAATTTGAAACGTTTAAAAACACTTTATAATAAACAATACATTTTTTAAACATTTTAATTTTTTTATAAAAAATAAACCATTAACATAAAGTAAAGCCTATAATAAGGCGTTCATATATTTAAAAATACTTTTAATTTCACCGAAATATGTGAAATGAATTGTAATGGTAAATTTTTGATATTTTGGCTCCAGAGCCACGTAGTCTCTTGAGTTAAATGCCAGAGTTAAAAGTCTCAAATTGAAGCATTTGAATAGGAGTTCATAAAACTAACAAGATGAAAAATATATTTGTAATTTACAAATTCAAAACATATTATCAAATATTTTACTTTCAAATAGACAGTTTTTAAAGAGCCTATTGTTGTCTAAAAACTAAATATTTTTAGAAATTTGGGCAATACCATTAGTTTCTTCTGTCACGCACATGCATGGGCATGTTGTCTAATGATTTTTCTATTTCTAATTTTATAATTAATATTTGCTGCTGACTAAATTTTATGAGAGCCTGGTGAAAAACACAGCGTGATAACTTTAGTCTAATGTAAGTCTAAAGTTTCTTAAGTAACTTATGTCTAGACAAACATTACTCTAGACTATTGACTATTTTCTATTTCTAATTTAAACATGTACTAAGTGTTTCTAACTAAATTTTATGAAAGCCTGGTAAAAAACACAGTTTAAAATCGATAGTATTTATTGTATATTAAAGTGATCATACAGCACAGTCTATTTAGCCTATTATATAGTCTAGCCTAGTTGATTCTTTGAAATGTTCCCCCTATTTTTTGTTTAATTTGAAAATTATTCTTTTATTTCTTTTATTTTAAAAACCATTTAAAATTAGCCAGCTGCAGCATCACTTCTGTTGAAGACTAGTATCTCACTAATATCTCTTTTAAAGATTTTTCTTAATTTTTCTCTTCAGAATTCTGTGATCCTCATAATCATCTTATACAATGTTACACCTGAATGATTTCAGGAACAAATGTTTCCAATTAATTTTAATTAACATTTTAAATTTCATAATGTATAGTCAAGAAAAAGATACATGTGATGCTCCTATCCATATGCTATGGATCGTACAGAGAGATCAATTGCTTTCATGTTTGCCTTAAAAAAAAAAAACAAAACAATTTGTTTATCGTCTTCTCTTTGGAAACAATAATGTTGTTGTTATTATATTCTTTCCATTCGCTCCACTGTGTTAAGATGCTGTATGTGTAACCACAAACCACAGAACGTATAGAGATCTTTAAAAAAAACTCTTACTAAAAATCATGTTTTCTTTATACAAATCGGCCACAATTTTACGCTTCATTGATTTTACAAATGATCTTCATCAGCATCATTATTATTACTACACATTCGTTCCATACAATATAATGACGATTGATCACGAAATGCGAATGAAAAGAATATAAACAACATCAACAAAACATACACACAGCATCCCATTTAAAAAGTGAAGAAAACAAGTGTATGATCATCATCATTGGTGTGTGCTGCTAAAGATTCTAGACTCCTGTTAAAATTTATGCATCAACCCACATGAAGACAAAACAAACAAACGGAACACCCACTAAATAACAAACAAATTAACAGACAAGTTCTTTCCTTAAACAAGTGACAATCACTTGTTATTTTGAACTTGTGTCACTGTGACATATGAGTCTCAATAATAAAAAGTGATCAGTGATCACACATTTCCAAACAATTAATCAAATTTAAAGAGTTGAAAAACATGCGTAATTGTAGCAAAGTAACAGGTGTTCAGAAATTTCAATAGGGGAAATTTATAACAGAATTTTTAGTACTTTAGAGTGCGTTTAGTACTTTAATGTCTGTTTAGTATTGAACAAGGGAAGTTTTATTTATTTTTATGTGGTTTTCATGTCTCTTTTCAAGTTGTATAATTTATGAGGGTTTTTAATACTTTGTGTGTCTTACATTATAGATTTTTTTATAAATAAAATAAATTTGTTTATTTTTTCAGCTTTCTGCACAAAAAAACCTGCTGCCCTATTATATCTTATGGATAAAATAAACAAAAGTGAAATTATTCAAGAAGGTTAGTTTTTTTCTAAAATCTTTGGAGTTTGCAGATCACATAGTCAGAGAAATAATTCTGTAACGGCGTTGAGGTAAGTGATTTTTTATGAATAACTGTTGTTTAATAAATTTTGAATACTAGATCGGTTCTGGTTCCGATCTAGATCACTTCAAGTACAGCTACAGTTCTGCTCTAGTTTAGTTCTAGTTCAGTTCTAATTCAGTTCTAGTTCAGTTCTAGTTCAGTTCTAGTTCAGTTTTAGTTCAGTTCTAGTTCAGTTCTAGTTCAGTTCTAGTTCAGTTCTAGTTCGGTTCTAGTTCAGTTCTAGTTCAGTTCTAGTTCAGTTCTAGTACAGTTCTAGTTCAGTTCTAGTTCAGTTCTAGTTCAGTTCTAATTCAGTTCTAATTCAGTTCTAGTTCTGTTCTAGTTCTGTTCTAGTTCTGTTCTAGTTCTGTTCTAGTTCTGTTCTAGTTCTGTTCTAGTTCTGTTCTAGTTCTGTTCTAGTTCTGTTCTAGTTCTGTTCTAGTTCTGTTCTAGTTCTTTTCTAGTTCTGTTCTAGTTCTGTTCTAGTTCAGTTCTAGTTCAATTCTAGTTCTGTTCTAGTTCAGTTCTAGTTCAGTTCTAGTTCAGTTCTAGTTCTGTTCTAGTTCTGTTCTAGTTCTGTTCTAGTTCTGTTCTAGTTCTGTTCTAGTTCTGTTCTAGTTCTGTTCTAGTTCTGTTCTAGTTGTGTTTTAGTTCTGTTCTAGTTCAGTTCTAGTTCTGTTCTAGTTCTGTTCTAGTTCAGTTCTAGTTCTGTTCTAGTTCTGTTCTAGTTCTGTTCTAGTTCAGTTCTAGTTCAGTTCTAGTTCTGTTCTAGTTCTGTTCTAGTTCTGTTCTAGTTCGGTTCTAGTTCAGTTCTAGTTCAGTTCTAGTTCAGTTCTAGTTCTGTTCTAGTTCTGTTCTAGTTCTGTTCTAGTTCTGTTCTAGTTCTGTTCTAGTTCTGTTCTAGTTCCATTCTAGTTAAGTTCTAGTTCAGTTCTAGTTCAGTTCTAGTTCAGTTCTAGTTCAGTTCTGGTTCTGTTCTGTTCTAGTTCTGTTCTAGTTCTGTTCTAGTTCTGTTCTAGTTCTGTTCTAGTTCTGTTCTAGTTCTGTTCTAGTTCTGTTCTAGTTCTGTTCTAGTTCTGTTCTAGTTCTGTTCTAGTTCTGTTCTAGTTCTGTTCTAGTTCTGTTCTAGTTCTGTTCTAGTTCTGTTCTAGTTCTTTTCTAGTTCTGTTCTAAATCTGTTCTAGTTCTGTTCTAGTTCAGTTCTAGTTCAGTTCTAGTTCAGTTCTAGTTCTGTTCTAGTTCTGTTCTAGTTCTGTTCTAGTTCTGTTCTAGTTCTGTTCTAGTTCTGTTCCAGTTCTGTTCTGTTATAGTTCAGTTATATAACGCCGTTTAAAATTCGTCTTGACGGCTTTCGTATTTTAAAACAATGCTTCCCTGCACTTTAATGTCTACTAAGTTCTTAAATTACTACTTGTGTATATTTTTCTTCTCATAATCCTTTTGTGATCTTTAATGATCTTCGTCTTGTTCTCTTTTATATTTCATAACTGTTTAACAAAAAACTACTTAAACAAAAAAAAAACGTAAACACACAGGCATTTCCTGTGATCACGTTTGTATCATTAAACACAAATTAGTATTAAGACGATTGAAGAAGGAAAATAGCCTTAAGCATCTTCTTTCTGGTCTAAAGTAACAGGTTAACAGAAAATTAAGCTAGCAGCTCAATAGATTACTTATAAATTATCTGCTGCCAGCAAACAGATACAAGTATTCTTATATAACAAAAAACACTTTGCCTTATGATCGTGAGAACTTTTTGTGTAAAGGATGTGTTGTTTTTTCTTTTCATTTCTGTTCCCTACAAATTTTGCTAAGCAACTACTGACCCTTCTTACTAAGCTTATGCAGACAGACAGACAGACAGATCCAATGTGTAATAAACATAAAGGCGTAACCGTAAAAGATTATCTCTCAAAACTACAAGATTGGAAACTGAAAAAAATTTACAAATTCCCACGTTCAGATTATTATGCGTGGGAATAAGTTATTAAGATTGTTGACTTTTGTTGTTTAGAGCAATAGGAGTTAAGGATTTTTAGCAAGTGGAAATAGCATTGTATAAAGAAAAAGAATCCTTTTAAGTGTTTTTTTTTTCATCTTAAAATAAAACGTGTGTGAAAAAAATTGTTAAGTTAAAGGGTCTTCTTTAAGATGCTTTTTTTCCATAAGAAACCATAAAATTCCCACAAAGTTTTTTTGTCTGCTTAAAGATGACCCAATGCAGAGCGTGAGAAATTTTGAGAAACGTGAGTCATAATGTCAGTTTTCTATTAGATGGTCAGCATATTTAGAAAGTTACTGTTGAGCGAAGTTAAATTTACAATGTTGAATAAAAATAAATGTTTGCTGCAAAAGGATAAAGATAAGATCGGATGTAACAAAAAGGATTTTAAGATAAGGATATTAATTTGAAGAGCTTCAACATTTTCTAGCAGAGCAGAAAACAGCAAAATTGCTTGAATAACGAGATCACTCATAGTTTTCATGAAAACCCTAAAATCACCTTCAGATTCTTAAATAATGAAAATCTTCAATCCAAATTCAAATTCTATGGTACCCTACACTACTGATTTTGTTAAAAATATAGGCAGGGGGTTAATATGGGCCTATCCTAATTTTGGTAGAAGGCTTAACGCGTACATTAAAGTTGTTTATGCAGAGTTTCAACGTGATATTAGCGCTTATAAGTTAATTTTGACATTCAAATCATTTTCTGAAGGGGACTTTGTGTGGGGACTAGGATCAAATGAATCAGTAATATCAATATCAATAATATTAACAATATTATTTAGACTTGTACAAAACTAAGTTTTGCCGAGTACAAAAACATTTAAATTATTCTTGAGCTCAAAAACCCTATTCGAGGGGTACGGTTGTAAGGAGGCTAGGCGAAGTAATGAACCGATTTTAACCATTATCAATAAGCTTCGACCTTGGGTGAAAAGACGAGAATTTTATCAAATTATCATGAAAATGTCTATCTTGAAAATGTCTACCTGACACAAGGTTTACATGACAGACCGACAGTCAGAAAGACAGACAGAGAGATAGACGGACGGACATATTTAAATTGACTTCGAGCCGAGTATACTTTAAAGTAGGTGTTGGGCCAGTAATTTTGGCTGTAACAAACATCAGCACAAACGCGTAATACCATCCCCACTACAGTGGTGTAAGGTATAAATAGTGAAAATCTGTGATAACTCTAATCTTTCGGTTGTAAATCCTTAAAAAAACGCTCCAATTAAGAAAATAGTGAAAATCGATGTTTATATGTGAAACCTAAAATCGGCTGTAGATTCTTAAATAATGATCCAATTGAGAAAATATAAAAATTTTTCATATTTTCCATCAAACATCGATTATTATATGAAAATCATAAAATCGAATAGAGATTCTCTAATCTTCCATCAAAAATCTATTTTTATATGAAAAACCTAGAATCGGCTGTAGATTCCTAAACAGCGCTCCTATTGAGATATTAATGAAAATATGTGATCACTCGTATTTTTCATCAAAAATCAATTTTTCATGAAAAATCTAAAAACGCTCCAATTAAAAAAGAAGTAGGAAAGTATAGTCGGGCATGGCCGACCATATTACACCATGAATACATTTTAAAAATTATTTATTTTTTATAAAGAAACGTTTATGTTGAATTTTACCTTAATTCCAAAGTATTTAAGCAATTTATTGATAAAAAAAACAAATTTTCTAAAGGACGTTTTAGACGTTTAAGAGATTTTTTGAAGGCGGTTGGTATGGGCGCTAGGGTCAAATAAGGGTCGATCATTACGAAAATGTGAATTGTCATTTATACTTATACTAAACTTATTTTTGCCAAGTTTTTGAGAGATAATAGTATATATGTCGTAATTATGGCATAAAGAGACCAAATCGGGAGTTACGGTTGTATGGGGGCTAGGTAAAATAATGGGCTGATTTCAACCATTTTCAATAGGCTTGTCTCTGTGCCAAAAAACACGTTTGGTCCAAATCTCATCAAATTATCTTGAAAATTGCGGCCTGTACTTTGCGCACAAGGTTTACATGGACAGCCAGCCAGAATAAATGATACTGCAGATTTTCGTAATGTCAGCCCTTATTTGACTCTAGCCCCCATACAAACCCCCCTTTAAAAAATGTCTTAATCGTCAAAAATTGACTTGTTACCATTTGTATCGCTATGAAACTCAACATAACTAACTGTTATTTAAAAATATATGCTTTTCTCAAATTTAATGAGCATCGGCCCATGTTTGACCTATACTCCTATATAAAGCCTCATTTAGAAAATTTGTTTTTTATCAATAAATTGCTTACTTTCGAATTAAGGTAAAATTCAACATAAAAGTTTCTTTATGAAAAATATTTTTTTTTTTAAATATACTCATGGTGTAGGGTATTATATGGACGGTCATGCCCGACTATATTTTCATACTTGTTTTCGATCGATTTTTTCATAAAAAGTCTAAAATCGACCGTAGATCATTAAATAACGCTCCAAATCATGTGATCGTACATATTTTCCATCAAAAATTGATTTTTATATGAAAACCTAGATCCTTAAATAACGCTCTAATCACTGAAAATTAATTTGTATTAAAAGGTTTTAAATGAAACACATATTTTTATGAGATTTAAATTTTATTTTACACTTTTATTAAGAGAAAAAACTAAAGCATACAATTTTTTATTTATTTAATTTTATATTGACAACACTTTAAATAAATATGTTTTTGTTTCAAAATATTGCGATTGTAATCCTCCTGTGATGCGGCGCTCACTCCTCCTCAGCATTTAGCAATTAAATTTTAGATTTATTCAAATACTTTTTTATAATTGCAAGTTCAGCAGTATATAACAATAAAATAATTTGCAATTAACTAATACGACTTAACAACTCGTACAATTTAGTTATTTGGTTTATTTTTTAACGGCTTCAGTTAGTTATTTTAATTAATTTTTTATTTGGAGGAAATTAGTATTGCATGCTGTTTGATG